CACTCTCAAAGAAGTAAAATCTCAAGTATTTGTCAATGGATTTCTAACTGCACCTTGTTTATGAGATCAAATTATTATGACAAAAAAAAAGAATTCTTACAGTTGGACAAACACTGCATTGCCACTCGGTTGCTTCAAGGCACTGCCTCTTAATATTATAGCTGAATCCGCAGCTGTCAATAAGCTTCCGCTTTCCCCTCTTGCTGGCACCCTCCATAATCTGAAAAGTCAGTAGCTGGTCTACTTGCTCAACTGCTTGGGGTATTGGTCCCTCCAGTGTGGATTCGTCAACTGTCGGGTGGATTGGAGGTTCATGCACTGTTGATCCTTCTCTGCCGAGGGCGGATTCTGAACTCGTCTCAATGGTCGCAGGCTCACTAAGCTGGTCAAACGAGTCTGCTGGAGGGTTGAACTCTTCGGACTCAAGGATATCTGTTGACAGGACTGATTAACCAGATTATCAACTATCATATTCAACTATCAAATTAAAGAAGTTTAATAACGCAATTACGAGTAAAAGTTGACGAAAAATTACCTTGATCGGTAGTTTCCTCTGAGTCAAAATCAGCGTCAAGAATGGCAGATTCAGAGATTTCACTTAAATTTTCACTTAGAGCGGTGCTTTCGGCCTGAGGAAAGTCACATGTTAACCAGCGCCAGTCGATAGACGCACCGGTTTTAACAGCGTTGCGGTAATCTGCCTGCAACACACCCGTATGGCAGGTGCGGTGTTGCCAACGGAGGAAGCCATCGCACTGGAGACCCTCTTGACGAGGTCGAACTTGTTCTTTACAGGAGATACACATGGTAAGATAGATGGAAGACTTCGTATTGAAGGTCGCGATTTGTTGTTGCTGAATAAGCTAATACGAGTATCCACAATTGAAGGACCCCTTTTATTCACCTCCCTAGGATCAAGATTTTGACTTCGAACGAAACACGCCATTTGATTGGAGTCGTTAATTTAAGAAAACAACGAGCACTGAATTGGGATGAATGAGATCTCCCACGTAAAATTTACATAAGTTCGCAAATTGCGCATGGGTTTGAAATAAACAATGAGATAACAATTACTAAAAGTTCGCGCATTTTGCGTGGCTTTGAAATAAACAATGAATAAAATTTCGCACCAGATACAATGAAATATATGAAGTTCGGCCTGCTCCCAGTTGGCTTGTTAGCTCAATTGGTAGAACGCTGCACTAGTATCGCAGAGGTCAGTGGTTCGAATCCCGTACAGGCCTGAATT